CAATCTGTGTCCCAGCCTCAACGGCAGCCACCCCCTGCCGGGGCTGCAGCCTCCTAGCCCCACTGCTGCAGGCCAACTAATTAGCCACAGCTAATCAGTGAACTAGTGACAGTGGCAGAGGGGGGGTTAAATGCCCCATCACGGGGCCGATGGAGCCAGTGGATGCAGTCTGTAGCTGTGCCAAAGTCAGCGGGGACAAGGCAAGTATCTCAGGTGGAGCTGGCCTCCAGGAGCTTTGCAAAGCACGTGTATTTTGGGTGCCATGGCGGCAGCAGGGACAGCAAGTAGCAGAGCAGTGTCCACTAAAGCAGCCCCCCCGCCCCCCAAGCCTGGCTGCAGACTCAGAAGCAGGACACTGGTTGCATTCAGAAGGAGTCTTCACAAAGAGAAAGGCAAGAAACTGGGGAATATTCCACCCAGCCTCCCCCAGATGTGACTCCACGGAAGTCAGTGGTGGGGGAGTGTCTGCCTGGGGTCACAATTCAGCCATTCATTCTTTTAAATGAAAGCTAAGATTGTGGAGAAAACAGTGAACTCCGCAGGAAAATAGCTAACGTCCCAGATTGCCCGCTCCGGAGAGGGGATGCTGCCCCGGCTGGGAGGGAGGGAAAGTCCTTCCCAGCTGATAGCTTTTCAGTGGCCCATGTGAAAGACGTTTGATGGGTCTCAGTCCAGCTCTTAGGGGATAGGTGTCCCCACATCACGGAAACCACCATGCCAGCAGCCACGAATTGACCCCCTTGTCTGGCTGTAGAGGCTGGATTCTTCCCTCCCATCTCTCAGGTTGCAGAGGCGCATTGCTAGGTAGGAAGCTGGCACTGCTGGTATCTTTTTATTAGCTTAGGGGTTTGGTCTCCACCAGCAGGAATCACACTGTAATATCTCACTGGAGCCCGGGCGCTATCCCACGCCTCAGACACTCCTTCCCGCGAGCTTTCTCCAGGTGCCCGTCTCTAGCTCATGCTCGCAGACCTGGGCACAATCTGATGTGGGGGAGGGATAGCTCAGTGGTTTGAGTATTGGCCTGCTAAACCCAGGGTTGTGAGTTCAATCCTTGAGGGGGCCATTTAGGGAACTGGGGTAAAAATCTGTCTGGGGATTGGTCCTGCTTTGAGCAGGGGGTTGGACTAGATGACCTTCTGGGGTCCCTTCCAACCCTGATATTCTATGATTCTACACACTGATCGTAAACTAACCATCCGGGGTTTGTGGTTACTGCAGGGGATTTTGCCCAACTGAGGGCAGCATTATTAGGCACCTGAGCTCTGCCTCTGATGTGGTTAAAACAAGAGCCAGTCACAGCTGCCATCATCTTTATGGAGACTACAGATCCCAACATGCCTTGCAGACCCTTGGGTTATTTGGCTCCTAGCTAGCCAGGCTGGGGACCAGGAAGCGTCCCCAGCTGGGGCCAGCAGCAGATGTTTTCCTTGACCAGAGGAACTGGTGGCAGATTGGTCCAGGGTCTTGTCGTGGCTGGAGCTGTCGGAGAGACGCCTGGAAGTGCTAGATGATGGGGCCGTCTGCAGGACGCTGGCGAGAAGTGGCTTCGTCCGCTTTATCCTGTGCCCAAGAGGGGGGATCCTTCCCACTAGCCATGTGGCCAGCACCAGGGGCAGGTACATGAGGCGGCTCTGGGCTATCTGGGGTTCACTGCATCTCTACGAGAAACACCATCAGCTCATAGCCCCTGGCTTTCCCCCTGTGCCCCCAGGCGGGCCTGGTGACCCACTGGTTACTGCCGTTCATCTCCCTCCCTGACTGCCTGGCAGAGACCTGGCTGGAGAGGGCAAGGAGGGAAACTGTGGTGGGGGTCACCCATTAGCGACCCCTCTGGTCTAGTGCTGCATAGCAAGGAGTCCTAGGGATGGGATGTGGGGTGGGGGCTGACCCAGAACCTCCTCCCCCAGACACAGGGAGTCTCCTGAATCACTGCTTTAGGGTCTGGCATCACCAGCCTGAGAAACACGTCCCTGCTAGAGTGACAGGGAACTCCCCCCCCAAGCCCCACTCAACTGGGGGCCACCCTGACTGCCCTCTGTGATGGGCTGGGAGGCTGCTCCCTCCCGCTGTTTGTTTGGACCCCCCTCTAATTCCTTCCTTGATTCCCAGGTCTCCAGGACACTCTGCCCCCCCAGCCCAGCAGTGCTTCTCAGGGGGCCTTTCAGACCAGTCCTTAGCTGTGGCACCTGCCTCTCCCTGGGCTGCTGAAAGACCTGGGTGCTGGCAGAGCTCTGGGATGCCATACCCGTCCGTCCCTCCGGCTTGCTTCCCAGATCTCCATGGGGGCCCTGCCCCCCCGCCCCCATGGGACAGCCCCAGCCTGCACTCTGGGGCATCACTCTTGGGCCTGGGAGAGGTCCTGCTGGATGAGCAGCTGCTGCTGGCCGGGATCCAGGCCTCCCTGAGGGACGCCAGCCTGGAGGCTGCCGTGGGTGGAGTGCAGCTTTCCAAATCCTCTGTCTCCTCTCTGCGGTAAGGGGCATGGCAGGGTGCGGGCAAGGGGATGGAGTGGGAGGCGCCCCTTGGTGACCAATGTGGAGCAGAGGCCAGACCCTTCAGCCCACTTGGCTTCTAACCCAGAACCAGATTGGGGGGCTCTGTGGGCAGTACCCACTGAGCCTGAGAGCATAGCACGGGCTGCCCTCTGGCTCCCTCCCATCTCTGCCAGGCTGCAGGTCTTGGTACAGCTTGTTCATGCTCCATGGCTCCCGCCACTAAGGTCCTCTCATGCCAACCTGGCCAGATTGGGCTAGCTCAACCCTGCTGAGTGACAGGAACAGGCAGAGCATTGCACACTAGGAACTGTGGAGTCTACGGGCCACCTGATGGGCAGGGAGGCTGCTGTCTGCGCCATTGCATGCGTGTTTGCTGGGGATGGACCCTGCAGGAGTGTGGGCAGCCCACCACCACCACAGAGCATCCTCATCAAACAGGCCCGAGTTCTCCCCACCTGCCCCTGCTTTCCCTGCCTGGCCCCGTATCTCCACCCACAGTCCGAAGGTTTCTTCAAAAAAGAACTAGATAAGTTCATGGAGGATAGGTCCATCAATGGCTATTGGGCAGGGATGGTGTCCCTAGCCTTTGTTTGCCAGAAGCTGGGAATGGGCAGCAGGGGATGGATCATTTGATCTGTTCTGTTAATTCCCTCTGGGGCACCTGGCATTGGTCACTGTCGGAAGGCAGGATACTGGGCTAGATGGACCTTTGGTCTGACCCAGTCTGGCCGTTCTTATGGCCTCTCTCCCTCTCGCTCCCCAGACTGCAGCAACTGGAGAGGATGGGCTTCCCCACGGAGCAGGCGGTGGTGGCACTGGCAGCTACGGGCCGAGTGGAGGGGGCCGTCTCGCTGCTGATTGGAGGCCAGGTTGGGGACGAGGCTGTGGTGACGTTGGAGACCAGGCCAGCCTGCCGTGAGCATCTGCTTCCCACAGAGCAAGCCGTACCGTGCTTTCCCACCACAGAATAAAGGGCCCCAGTAATTAACGGTGGAAATAACGGCGCCAAGCTGAACCATTGGGTTTGAGATCACCAGGCCCTGAGGGAAGGAAGAGAGCAAAGCCCATTACCGGAAGCACCATGAGCTTGGGGCCTGCACCCTCTATCCCAAGATGGGGGAGTCCTGTCGGGCTCAGCGCCACACCGGGGCTCCATGGGGAATGGCTGCGTGAGAGGATGGGGAAGCAGGAGCGGTGAGGCAGGTGCTGAGCTGGGTGCTACAGGGAGAAAGAGCAGTTGCATGACTGCGGCATGGCTCGGGCTGTGCAGAGGAGTCACTTGCAGCATGGTGTCTCCTACCTTCTCCGTCCCTCCCCTCGTGCCAGCCCCCACGGGCTCCGGCCTCTTTTCTGCCTGACCCGTCCCTTCCTTGGTAAGGCCATGCTAAATTTTAACCTGTGTTAGCAGCCAGGTTAGTACTGGCCATTCTGGGCCTCCCAAATGTTTGTTCCAGGGCACAAACCTTTTATGATTTAGGCTGAGATTCAGGCCGTGTCCTGGAACTCGCATTTAGGGAGCGTCCATGCCAGCACGGGCAAATATATTCGCTAATTGGTGACTGAGTAACTGGTGTTAGAAAGCACCAGTGTAGACAGATCCTATCACTAGCTGGGGCGGGGGGGGGGGGAGGAGAGGCTAGCACTGGGGGCAGCACAGACGAACTCCCCAGCCCAGAGAGCTCCAGGTTTAATGGTGCTGCCGGGTGAAGGCGATGCTAGAAAACAGGCCAGATCCATGCTTGTGTCCTCTGGAGCCTAAACTCTGCCACACATCGTGTCGTCCCAGGCAGTCCCGTGGCATTTGGGGTGCGGGGTTATGCCACCAGCAGTCTGGGAATCCTAAACAGTCCGTAACCGTAACATCTCCCCAAAGGCCGACTGCCCCGGAAAGCAGAGGGGAGGGCTAGCCCGGGAAAGGTGCCTGCCAGCTCCCATCCCATTGCCTGGAAGGCGGTACCTGCTTTCTCTGCCTGCCCTCTGGTTGGCTTTACCAAGATGTTGGCTCCTGGACCCACCAGCTGCCGACATGATGGTGCCCTGTCTACATGGGATTCACCTGGAGACCACCAGCATCATGGCCCTGCAGCTACTTTCCAGCCTTGCTCTGTCTTGCCACAGGCTCTGAGCCAGAGGGCTGTGAGAGCCAGCGAGCCCTGCCACCATTGCTAAGGGCCCCTGCAGAAGTGCCCGCCCGGGGAGCTGACCTGTGGACCCGTGGAAGTGACCTGTGGCTGTTCTTTGCTGAAGAAATAAAGTTTCACCAAACCCTGGGGAGGCTGCTGGCTGCTCTTATTGCCTGTGGCCAGGCTCAGCCAGTCATTTGTTTCCCTCAGGTCCTTCCCCTTGGTGCAGCCTCTGGGTGAGGGCGGAGCTGATGGGCGCGCCGGGCCTCTAGCCAGCATCCTTCCTGGCTGCAGCTGATGCCCGTCAGCGCTGCTAGTCCCACAGCCTCGCTGCTCCCCACCCCAGCTCTGTAAGCACACAGCCAGACTGCCGGGGCGCTGGAGCTTAGCGACACGTTTTAATGACCTTTAGACCATTTGTCCCCCAGCTGGCCGGGATCACGAGGTACACAATATGAAGACCGGTTCCCTCCCCAGCCGCTTGCGCAGTTGGTGGCAGGGTTGCACTGGGTGCTGGTTTCAGACGGGCCTCCCCGCTAATGATCCCAGACTTCCTTGCTCCTGGCCTTTCTCCCCATTTTACAGCAGCTCTCCCAGTTAGTGCGTCTCAGGGCCCACAGGGAAGGATGGTGGGAGGTGGGGCAAGAGTGTGCTGCTGCTAGGTAGGTTTGGGTTATGTCTCCACCCTCCCCAGCCATCGTTAGCCGAGGGGATGCTGATCAAGGAGGTGGAGCAGGGAGCTGAGGCCTGACCCCTGCCTGTGTCCAGCCATGGCGACTGCCCTTGGTGACACTTTGGCCTCCAGGTGGAAGAACCCTCCTTCCTGGGGGAAGGTGCCCAGGGTGGGGCTGGGGATGCTGGAAGGGGACCTGCCTGAGGCCCACCCAGGGGTGGTAGCTGTCCCTGCTCCAGAAGAACTGGTGCTCCAGGTAGAGCCTTTGGGGTGTAAGAAGCGGGCACATGGTGGGTGCAGCCAGCGAGACTGCCTGGGTGCAGGGTGCTCCTGCCTCAGTGGCTTCTAGCATCCCATCGCTATCTGCGCAGACACCTTCACGGCACAGCAGCCGGCGTGGGGGCCTGGCTGTTGGGTCACGGGCTGCCCCTCACATGGTTTGGTGGAAGCCCCACAGCTGCCCCCTGGGCCTGAGGCCTGGACACTCAGAGATGAGTGGGTGGCCACGTGGGTAATTAACCCCTTTGCTGAAGCCAGGCTGAGGGCAGGCTGGCTGAGCCAGCGGGGCCTGTGGCAGCCAGAGCCCAGCCCGGCAGGGTTCAAGCAGGTGTGCGCTCAACCCAGGCTCAGCCTGCTTAGCTTGGTTTTCAGGGTCCAGCTGGGGCCACCCCACCTTAGTGCCAGTGTCCAGTGGTACGGGCAGAGCTGCTCAGGGGCTGCCGGGGCTCAAACCCGTAACAGGGTAACGGACTGGTGGAGCGCCTAGTGCTGGGCAGCGCTACACACGTCCCAGCTGCCCCTGCTCTGGGGGTGGATTCACAGGGGAAAAGGCAGGAACTTGGCTCCATGGGAGCTGAGCCAATCCCTGCGGACTGGGAAGGGCCAAGGCACCATCTCCTGCACCCCCCCAGTGGGGGAGCCAAAGACTGGATTCCTGGGGAGTGCCCAGGATAAACCCTCTGCATTTGGGGGCAGAAGGGAGAACGATGCTCTCTCTGCCATCCCTGCCACGCCGGGGAGCTACGGGCCAAGGTCATCTAGAAGACATCCCACACAATAGCACCAAGAGATTAAGAGCGCCCCCTGCAGTACAATGAGGGGAGCACGGGGTAGGGGAGCCATGAGGAGGCAGCCAGCAGGGGGTCAGTTAGTACACACATAGCACTGGTTATAGGCCTCTAGAAACAGCCCAAATAAATAGAGTCACACCGGCCAGCTGCATGGCCTGGGAAGGCTCCTCAAGCGTTTCTTCATGTGACAGTCCAGAACAATGTGGGGGAGGGGAGGTACCCAAGGGGGCCTTAATGCTTGGGGAGACGACTCCTGCTCGGGTGGCTGCCCCTCTTCACTTGCTCTCGTCCTGGGCCGTCTGGGCCAGCTGGTGTGGGCTGCTGTAGGCTGCCAGCCTGTCGCGCTTGCCCCGCTGGAAGCTGGGGGCGCTAGTGGGGAAGGGTTCGGCGCCTGAACCCGGCTCTGGTTCTAGCATGGGGAGAAAAGCAGAGTCAAATCCCAACGTTTCTCCAGCGAGACCCAACCAGGGAGCTCGGACCATCGCAGGGCATTGGCTCTGCTGACCAGCTAGTCCTCAGCCCTAGTGCGGTGCCAGCGTACTAGTACCTAGGCAGAGCACCCAGCAGCCATGTGTCTGCCCGGGGCTGCAGGCCAAAGCACTGGGCATTGGCTAGTCTCAGGGGTTAGCCATGTTCTGTCGGCGGCGGCAGCGATAAAGCTGCAGAGTTCAGCTCTAATCTCCCCGGATCCCAGGGTTTGGTTGTGCCATCTCCAAGGACAGTCGCATGGTGTCCAGGCATGGGCCTGACACAGCAGATGTGGCTGTTTCAGACGAGCTGCCAAGGAGAGAATGGTGCCCTGATTTGAATCCATATGTTGGATCCAGGTTTTTTTTTCCCAGGGAAGAGGAAGAGTGTGTGTGGGAGGGGGCGGGGGGCACCGTTCTGGTGCTCCTGGGGGGCCCCTAAATTGGCTGGGCCCCCTGGGCATGGGCCTGGGCATTATACTGCCACTGCCTGGAACCCTTTGCCCTCCCCATGAAGGAGTATGTGATCAGCAACAATGCAGCCACATGAGGCAACACGGGGCAGCGAAGTGGGAGAGTCAGGTTCAGCTCTGAGCTCTGGCTTCCCCCTCCAGGTCTGGGAGAGGTTGTTTGTCACTTCACGTCCCTGCTCTCCAGCCAGGGGACGTATGCAGCATGTAGACAAAGGAGTCAAGGCCCAGCTCCTCAAAGGTCTTTAGGGGGGCACCTAAAGACCTTCATGGATCTGGGTCCAACTGCTCACTCTCCACTGCAGCTGCTCCAGAGGGCGAGCGACTGGGGGAACGCTCCAATCTAAGCAGTTGGCTGGGGCTGGCGGGTGACCACAGAGCCCAGAATAATTCAGCATGTTAATGCAGCACCTCTTGGGCTCCGCCAGGCTCTGGTGCCATGAGCAGGGCTCAGAGCTCGGGGCTGCCCGTTTCGATGGCATTCATTCGACAGCCTGTGCAGCGGCAGCTGAGAGGAGCGGTCAGGGGCTGCTAATGACACCGGGAGGCAGGATTCTGCTCCCACTGAATCCAGGTTTAAGACTCTGCAGGAAATGGCCAGAAGACCCTGCTGTGATGGGCTCAGAACTTCCAGCCCATTACACGGCCCATCTGCACCTGCGATTCTCCAGCGTCCCTGGCCACAGGCAGGTAACACACATTGCGCAGGACCATGATCCAGGCAGCATCTATCCCCATACAGAGCCATCTGTCGTGCCCTCTCTCCCGCAGGGCAGAGGGAAGGAAACCCTCCTCCAAGCTAAACCAGGAATGGTCAGTGCACCCGAGCGATACCCAGTGCAGATGCCCAGGGCACTGTTGTGCCATAGCTCATGCTGCTAATTTCCAATGGTGCCACGAGAGGACGAGCCCCACAGAGCTGCAGGACAGACCCATGCAGACTTGCCTTGAAGTCTGAGTTAGGCATCTCCCACTTGTGGCTTCAAGTACTAGCACCTCTTCCCCCTCCCCAGCTGGCAGTCACGAGACAGGAAGGGTTGTATCAGCACCTAACTGGAATCCCAACCATCTGGCTCCAAACACACAGAGGAGTTGTCATCCACAGACTCGGCATGCAAAGGGGAGCCCATGGATACAACGGGGTCCCCGACAAAGGGCTGGCTCCGAGCGGCCCAGCCATTCAAGGAGTCCAGCGCACACGGTTCAGAAATCATGCTGAGGAAGAACAGAGTAGGAAAAGTTGAGCCTCTTGTTACCTGGCCAGATGATGGCTTCCAGCAAGGTGACCCTTCTAGCCAGGAGCTCCAGCTGGGCCTGCTGCTGTAGGAAGGATTGTAAGCTAATGGCCTAGTGGAGATCGAGAAGAGCACAGAGTGCGAATTCATTCACCCTCGACGGGGGAAGGGAGGGGGATCCGTCACTGAGGGCTGAGTCAGGGAACCAGGACAGCAGCTTGGAGGGCTGGGGGAGGAATGTCCTCTGTGAGGAGAGGGGATCCCCAAGGGATCTTAGACGGCCCCAGCCAGGCGATTGCTCCTGGGCTCCCTGCGGAGGTTAAACGCTCTCCCCTCTCTCCCTGGTGTCAGGGCCAGCAGGCTGGTCTGAGGAGCAGGAGGCAGGTTCCAGGCTGTTGGATGCATACCACCAGGCTCCAGGGGAGAAGGCTGCAAAGCTCACAGGAGCAGACAGGGTCAGACCTCTAGCTCCCATTGAAATCAGAGTCCAGGTGGGAAAAGATGGAATCCTTTACTCCTAAACTCAGATCCATCCCCCTGAACTGGGGTTCCCTACCTCTCCTGGCTCTCTCTGCTCAGCCAGCACTCGCCTCCTCTTTTGGGCCCTCCCAGAATGTCTTGCTGGTGTGGGAGGCTCCCCCTCTGCATCTGTGGGTGGAACCCCCCCCCAGGGCCCCCTGCATTCCTTTCCTATCAACTCCTCTCCTACCTCCTCACGTTCCTCGGCCCTGATCATTACTCCAAGCGCTGCGGGATGCAGTGACTGGGAAAGGACCGGCATAAAATCAAGCGATTCTGAAGTGGCAGCCCCACACAACGACCCCAGCCCTTTCACCATTAAAGGGCACCAATCTGGATGCCACTGGGACTGAGCGGCTGTTTTTAGTTCGTCCTTAAAAATATTTCAATGTCACTTAAAGGTGCTTCTCCTCTGCCCAAGAGAGCCTCTGCCAGGTGCTCAGGGTGTAGACGCCTTGGGGCAGGGGCCAGCACAATGGGGCCCCAATACAAATATTAAACCACCATCACAGAGAGGGAAATCTGTAATTAACAAGCCCATCCGCCTGCTGTCACTAGGGGTTGTGCTCCAATGGCAGCAGATCCCTGGGGAACACCCCAGTACTCAGTCTGTGGCATGCACAGCAGGTCCATTCTCCGCAATGGGAGCTGCCCCCATTTTCCGCAGGGCGGAAGCTGCCCCCTTCCCCACTGAGTTCAGATGAATCCAAGCGGCCGTTCCTCACGGCGCTGGTCTAGCTGCACTCCCTGGCGATGTCGGTGCCTGGGTGAGTGTGTTGGGGTTTGGGGGTGTGCTGTTGTCCTGGTTCCCGGGACCCTCCCCCAGTGCGGAGCAGGGTGGGGAGGTCTGGGATTTGCCTCGTCCAGCGGCTCCATGACATCAGCAGGTGGGAGGTCACTGTGATGTCATCAAAGTGTGGGTTTCCACAGTTGCCCTAAGCCCTGTTGAAGTGGGATGATGTCATCGCAGGCAACACCGCCGACCCACATGGCAGGCGGACTAAATCCCACCGGCTGCCATAAACAAACAGGCAACGCTCCCAGTGCAGGGAGGTGTGGGGCCAGCAAGCCCCAGCCCCAGCCCATCCCACGGCCTGACTCACTGGCCCTCCTCGCACCATGGGCTGAGCAGGACCTTGTGCTGGAAGCAGGGAGCACTGTTTGTTTGGTGGCAGCGTGCGTGGGCCCTCCCGCGTCCTGCCCTGCCCCTCGCTGGGAGCTCAGCCCCACACCAGCAGCCTGGAATTCTGTCCTTCTGTCTGTCTCTACTCACCATAAAGCCCAATCATTGTTTCCAAGATTAAAACCCTCTCAGCTAAAATCTTCAAAGCCTCTCGGAGCTGGTGTAACCCCTCCCCCTGTGGACGAAAGAGACAGATCCAGCCGTGAAGGGAATGCCCGCGGGTGCCCTCCGACCCCCGGGACCTCAGGCAAAGTGGGGGAGAGGGGAAGAAGAGGGATGAACAGCCCAGTCGCCCTCTCTCAAGGGGGTGTGGGCAGCTGGTTATAAAGCTCCTCCCGCCCAGCTGGGCACTGACATAACAGGCATGCACATGCTGTGCCTCAGGGAGCAGGCTGGGCTGGGTGGACAGTATGCAGCATTCCCATGGCACAGCTCATGACAAACACAGATGCCGCTGGGGAGGGAAGAGCTAGGTCAGCCCACGGGGGACCTGGAAAGGGCATAAGACCCAGACTGAGCAGCAGCGCCCTGGCTGAATCCCATTGCTGGCCACTATCCCCTGCCCCTTCCCCCCACCCCTGCAGGTGCGAGTCTGTCCCATCCAGCTAGCCCCACGGTCCCATTGTGCAGCATGGCTGCCATGCCTAGCCCAGAGCTGGCTGCATTTCAGAGCCTGGGGAAAGTGACTGCTGAGTGCGCAGCCTGCCAGGGCTTTGGGGGGCTCAGGAAATGCAGTAGCCTTTGAAGCAGTCTAAACTGCTGCCTGTTCTGGCTCCAAAGCACAGCTCTCCTGTCCCACAAGGACCCTGGCAAAGCCCTGCCGCGAGGAGTGGGGAGCTCTACTCCTGGGGGCCCTGCACTGCGCCCCTCATTCATCTTTGTTAGTCCCCAAGTGGGAATAACTGGGAGTCGCAGTGCTCATGCTGGCCTGCAGGGGCCGCTGTTGGGCCACACCAGGATTCTCACCCTGGGGCTGCCATCAGGGGGCCTGCACCTCAAGACCCCCATTTTATCTCCTGGCTGTGTCAGCTGATGGGGTTCAAGCCGGGACAAGTCTCCTCCCACCCCTAGGGCTCAGGCCCCTGGCTCTAGCGGGAGCTGCAGCAGCACGACACAGACAGGAGCCTGGTACATAAACGGGTGTCTGCGCTGAGGCTGCTGCACACAGAGAGACCCTGGGGCTCCCCAGCTCCCAGCCCGCGCTGCCCAGGGCTCTCCAAGGCACTGGGCACCCACAGCCACCAGTGAGGCCGATGGGAGCTGCCGGGTGGCCTGGCCTGGCCCAAGCGCTCCTGAAACTTGCTGCTGACGCCACTCCCCATGGGGCCTCTGGCAATGGTGCAGCTTTGGGGGTGGGAGTGGGGACACCGCTCCACACTCCCTGTTCTGGGCTGCCCCAGGGGCTGGAACAAGGGCAGCCAGTGAGCCTGGGCTGGCGCTGCAGCATGAGCCCAGCACGCACCCTGGAGGTCTCTCCTCAATCCCTACTCCAGGGCTGGCCTTGGCAGGGCCTGCTGGGGAAGCTTTAGGGCTCCCCCAGCCCCAGGGCAGCGCCCCTCAAGCCAGATGCTCCCTGTGCCCCTGGTGACTTCGGCTCCCCTCAGGGCCAAGCTGGTTCTGGGCTTTGGAGGGTTGGATGCTGCTGCAGCCCCTGCAATCCCTCCTGGCTTCTTGAGCATCCAAGTGCCCAGGGCATGTCCCTGGGCCGGGGCAGGGGAGACACCCAGAGCAGATCTCCTCTGTTCCTGCTCCCCAACCCAACCGCCCCTCGTCCTCCGCTGCCCACCGAGATTCACTGCCAGGGTGCAGCAGAGCGTGGGGGTCAGGCGCCAGCCAGGGCCGTGTGCGGGGCTCTCCCAAGTGCAGGGAGGGGGTGGTAGAGACGGGGGCTGGGGGCATGCGGTCTGGGGACAAAGAGGAGCTAGCTGGTACCTGTCAGCCAGTGGGCGGGGGGGGGGGGCAGGGCTGTCCCAGCAGCACAGGACAGCTGCTAGCCTTGTGCCGGGGCGGAGCAGGGGGCAGGAGGGTGCATGCTGCGGGTTAGTAGCAGGACTCACGGCAGCCAGCAGGCAGATGGAGAGACATGTAAAGAGAGGTTCCCACAGCTGTATCAATCGCTAACCCCACAACCAGGGCGAGGGGGGCCGGAAGCCCTGGCACCGCCCACTTCTCTGGGCCAGCCTGCCCTGCGGCTCCACACAGTCCAGGCACTGCGGGGACAGACCCAGCTTCACCATAGGCACTAATATTCGCACTGGCCTGGTGGGGTCCCGTCCTGTGAGCCGGGCCCCTGGCGCTGGCCCCTGCCCCCATCCCCAGAGAGGCCTCTCCAGCTTTGCGCAAAGGGATAGAAGTGGGAGGTGCCAGTGCCTCCAGCCAGACACGGCCCCGAGAGCGGAAGGGCTGAGGAGTGGGCCCCAGGGATGGGGGGTGATGATGGGAAACATCCCGGGGGGAGGGGGTGGGGAAGAAATGGAGCACGAGAGACAGAAAGAGAGAAAGGTGGATGGGACGTGGGCTGAGCTCCAGAGGGACCAGGGTGCTCAGTCTGGGCTGCCACCATGTCCCCCCTAGGCTGGAGCAGGTGAGGGGAAACAAGCCATGGCCTTTGGCTCCATGCCACAAGCCACAACCTGCCAGCGTCATTAATTCCCCTCCGCGGTGCCATCCCGGTGGCAGCCTGGCAGATCCCAGCAGCCCGTCCCCTCTTCGGAGCTACACCACCAACATCCACCCATGCGGCTTCCCCACCCCGGCAGCCACTTCCTCTCCTTGCACCTATGCCAAGCCCCGCCCCGCCGGGCAGCTCGGAACGGCACCCCTGACCTTTCACCCCATGGCGAGCCCCCCTGCAGCAGCCAGGGCCGAAGGCGTGGCCAGCTGCAGATGTGTCTGTGTACGAGAGGCGACAGGCAGCACAGGTCTTGGGGAGGCCCAGGCTGGAGCCTGGTTCAGGATTGGGGGGCGAGGTCAGGCTGGAAGGGGCCCGAAGCTTTCCTCCACCATGCCCCGCCTGGCAGCGATGGCAGTGGAAAGGCCCAGAATTAGCTGGGTGTCGTGCTGGGCACCCCATGGAAGGGGCCAGGTCCAGAGACTGGTGGGAGGAGGGAGCTCCTGGCCACGGCCCTGCCAGGGGCATTTCCATTGTGAGGGGGATGGAACGCGCAACGCCACAGCGCCAGGGCCGGGGGCTGGACCCTGCAGGCTCTAGGGAGCCCAGGGCTTCACGCTGGGCAGGGTTTCTGCTCTCCTAGGAGATGGCGCCTGAGGACAGGGCAGGGCAGGGCAGGGGGGTTCTAAGCAGCTACTATGCCATGAGGGGAGAGAAGGGGCTCTGTGGTCCCATCCCCTCCACATGGGACACCGCGTTAACCAGGGATGCCAAAGGGAGACCCCAGCACTGCCTCTGGCTTTGTGCCCTGCTCTCTGGAGCTGGGGCCGCACCAGGCCCATGGAGCCTGGCAGAGCAGGCTCTGTCTATGGGGCTGAGGGGTCGTGGCAGGATGCTGCAATGCAAAGCCCGGGAGGCTGGTGCCAGGGCTGGGTGCAGTGTGCAGAACAGCAGTGGGTGAGTGAGTGGCTGGTGCCCTGTGCTTACCCAGGTGCCTTTGTCCCCCTGTTCGCCTTTTGGACCCGGCTGCCCCTGAAACAGAGACAAGAGAGATGCCAGCATGAGCCGGAGCCAGCCCAGGATGGCTGACCCAAGGGGCACTCGAGGATGAGAAGCCTGGGCGGAGGGGACAGAAGAGGCCTGCTGGGAGGGGCGTACAGGAAGGATCTCCCCTTCCCCAGAGTGGAGAGCACAGGGCACCCCCCAGCATGAGGAGGGACATCTTCCCTTTCCCCACCCCCAGGCAGGCCCCTTCCCACAGAACAGGGGACACCCTGGGATGAGCAATCAGTTGGCATCAACTCCTGCCCAAGCTGGGACTCTGGCCTTGGCACCCATCCTCCCTCCAATGTGTAACAGACCCACAGAGGCCAACTGAACCCTTCCCAGCGTGGGGCAGGGGGCACTGGGGGAGATGGGGAACACATAGCCCTCTCCCAGCTTGGGGCAGGGGGCTCTGGGGGAGATGGGGAACACACAGCCGTCTCCCAGTGTGGGGCAGAGAGCTCTGGGGGGAGGGGGCACAGAAAGCCTCTGCCAGCGTGGGGCGGAGGGGTCTGGGGTGAGGGGGTACAGACAGCACACTCCCTGCCTGGGGCGCGGGGCTCTGGGTGTGGGTTGGGGGCTCTGGGGTGAGGGGCATGAGGAGAGGCCCCTCCCCATGTAGGCCGTGGGGCGCTGGAACCTTGGATCAGGGACTCCCTCCAGCATACAGAGCACTGGAATGGATTTGAGGGATCAAGCCCCACAACATACATGTTCCCCGTCCAGGCCTCTGCTCCCAGGAGAGCCAGGAGGGCCCTAGAGAGAGAAGGAGAAGGCGAGTGACTGGCTGTGGCCTGGCCCGCTGCCCCAGCCCCTCCAGCATCTCAGAGACAGCCAGGCCTCAGAGTAAGGAGCAGTGGGCCAGCACATGGCTGTTGGGCAGACCCCGGCCCCTCGTGTGCCTGTTCATCTGGCACAGCATCACCCACAGTGGAGCAGCCGCAGGCCCCGTGAGCCTGAGAATGGTCTCGGCCATCCCCAGGGTGGAGGGCACAGCCTGGGAATGGATGGATGGGGAGAGCCGTTTTTCTCCCTCTGCTGGTGGAGGCGGCACTGCCGGCCTTGGAGGTGGAAGGGGTCCCCTATGGAGCCCCGACACTGTCCCTGCCTCTGTGCCCAAGCCTGCCCCAGGAGGGGAACGTTGTCTCCATGGCCTCTCTGCCCAAGCTGCCAGTGAAGAAGCCGGTCATAGTGGCAGAGACAGAGGCACGTGTCCAGCAACCCACCTCGTCTCAGACAGGCCCCTGGACAGGACACCAGTCTGAGAGCGAAGGGTCTGCGCTCTGCCCCACGGGACGGCCACAGAGCTGCTCCTGTGAGTGGTAACCACTCCACCCACCAGGGCTGGGCTCCAGCCTCTGGCAACGGCCCAGGAAGCGGTCAGGTGGCAGGGGGCTGGCTGGTCCCAGGCCCTGCAAGACATAGGCAGTGCCTGCTGGCCCGGCCCAGAGCAACGCCAGAGTCTGCACCTGGCATTTCAAAGGCAGGACGCCCCTGCTCCACCACTCCCCTGCCCTCAGCCTTGCCCCGTGCACTCCTCTGCAACCCCGTCCTCTCAAGCACAGCCCCGGCTACTAGCCGCATGGCAGGGGCTGGGGGTCACTCACTCTGTCTCCTTTCTCCCCTGGGGGACCGCTGGCTCCGTCAGCACCTGGCGCTCCGGGTAAACCCTGCACAACAACGACAGGATCAGCATCCTGGTTTCAGGGGCTGCTCTCCCCAGCCTGGCCACAGCCTAGCTGGACCCATTGGAAGGGGCTGGCTCCAGATGCCCAGGCGATGGGGGGTTCTTGGGTATCCAGGAGAGGGAAGGCAGTTCTTGAGTGCCATGGGGAAGGGAGAAGGGGTCTTGTGACTCAGGGAAGGGGTGACCTGGGGCAGCAGATCATGTACCCACCCCAACAGGAGAGATGAGATACTCAGGCCCTGTCCCCCACCCCATGGGCCGCTCCCCGTGCCCCCTGCCTCTTCTCTTCCAGATACAGCACTTACATCGTGCCCTGGAGGGCCTGGCAGCCCGACTGGCCCTGGGGGGCCCAGAGGACCTGGAACAAGAGGAGCAGAACACACTGTGTCATTACGCCCCATATTCTTCATAATAATATTATGATATGAGTATGGCATAATTATGATGTATTTTGTGCAAGATAAGGCATGTGACATATCATTGAAAAGGTTCTGATTTACTGAATATGATTATCTGATTTGCATGCATGAATCATTTTGGTATCTGAAGTTAGGAATATTGTCTATGTATCTATTACAAATGTGTGTACACCTGGGGAATGCCCACTAGGCAGCATGCAATCAGTCTAGAAGGCTGGCTAGGATAGGCCATTAGGGAGAACACTAGGTCTTAGAAGATGCTACTCTCCCACTGGGAAGCCTTCCTGGGGACGCTGCAAACAGTCTCTGAGTCATGGCTGTGGTAGCCCTACAGGGACATGTGACCAAGTCCCCTGGTACTGGACTCCATCATAATGCTAGTGTGGGAATCGAACTGGGAGACAAAGGATTCCCACCATATGCAAAAACTAATTAAGGCAGGGGAGTGACATCAACATGGTTTGTTCTTCACTGACTCCCCGCCCAAGAAAGAGAACTGCTGGAAACACCCAAGGAAAAAAAAAGACAGAACTAGGGGAGAAGGGCTGAAGCCAGGCTAGAGAATTGTCTGGCCTGTGACGAATTCCTGGAGCTTTAAGCTGCAGGCAAGTGCAGTTTGCCTTCAAGAACTTCTGCAATCTGCCTAAAACAACATTTAGGGCGAGAATTTGTTACACATTTCCAATTTCTTTAGTCTATTAAGCTTAGATTGCCTATTTGTTTTATTTGCTGGGTAATCAGCTTTGATCTGTTGCTATCCCTTATAATCACTTCAAATCTCTCCTTTGTAGTTAATAAACTTGTTTTGTTTTGTTTAAGACCAGTGTGTGGAACTCAGTACTTGGGGCAGAAAGCTGTTGCATCTCTTTCCACATTGAAGGAAGGGGCGAATTTCACGAGCTGATGCGGTACAGTTCTCTGTGCAGCACAAGATGGTGCAATTTGGGGTCTACACTCTAGAGGGGGGGGGTGCACTTGAGTACTGGGCAGTTCCTTAGCTGAGCCTCCCCATGCAGAGCTGATCTCAGCATCTGTGTCCCCCCTTACTTGTACGTGTGCTGGTAAAGTGCAGTCTGAAGCCTGGGGAAGGGCTTGATAGGCTGCGTAGCAGTACAGCGTAAAGGGAGCCCAGGCTGGTGGGTCAGGTGGCTCAGTGGCACCCCGGGGGTGGCACCCCCTCAGCTGGCAGCACCAGGCTCATATCCCTGCTGTTACACCCATCAGTTGGCGGCACATTCCTATGAGATGTGTATCCCTCAGCTTGGAATCCCTTGTGCCAGCCTTGTCCTGGGCAAAATCCATCCCATAAAGCCCCGTGGAGGCCGTGGGGAACTGGAGGGAGACCTCCACTGGCTGGGGTAACCAGCTACCTGGATATCAGGGCTCCAGTGAGGAACAGAGAGGAGGGGAACTTACCCATTGGCCCTGGAGGCCCTGGGGGTCCCGCAGGCCCCATGGTGCCAACGCTGCCAGATTCAGTGAAGGTGTTTGACAGAAGCGGGTCCCCTGGGACATGGAGGGAGGAGAGATTAGAGGAGACTGCCAGGCAGTGCTGGCGTATAAGGACTCTGAAGAGCCCCCTTTTCCTCCTGGAGCCACAGTGAAATGGGCCCAACATCCCTGAGCGTGGGCCAACTGCACACCAAACTGGGCCCAGTCCAGCCGTTCGCTCAACGAGATCTGGGCAGAGGGCACAGCAGGGACACAGCAGCCAGCCAGCCACTTGGAGACACAGCTGATCAGACTCACGCCCGCACGTGCCAGCATGCACAGGCACCATGGTTACCAGCAGGGGTCAGGCACGGGCCTTCGGCACAAGCCTCTCCCACTGACTGAGCGGCAGGCTCTTCTCAATGCTCCAGCCGCTGTCTGAATCACACACACTTTGCCCGTGTAGTCCATAGGCATTGACTGCCATGCCTGGCAGTCCTCGTTCAGACACATATACCCATCCCTGCACATTCAGACATGCATGCCCAGCTCCATACATGTGGCCAAGTGGCGAGGGCACTGGACGGGGACTCAGGAGATCTGGGTTCTGTTACCTGATCTGCCACTAACCTTCTGGGTGACCTTGAAAAAGTCACTTGCTCTATAAAATGGGGATAATGCTATTGCCTTCCTCTGTAACACCCTTTGAGATCAACCACTGAAAAGAGCGATACAAGAGTGGGGTACTATTGTCTGCAGAGGCACACGGACACAGTTGGACCGGCATGGGCGCACATGCAGCTGGAAGCCTTGCCCAGAAATGGTTTGATCTGTGCCCAAGCCAAGTGGTTTTAGTTTAGCATGTGTCCAGAAGCTGCACTTTAGCTCATGGAGGTGGGCTGCTAAATCTGGCCACTAGGGGGCAGAGCAGGCCAATCCAATCGAGGACAAGGGCCTATATTAAATGTATGCACTGGAACCTGCAGTCATGGAAGGGGAGCGTCTGCTGGGGGTGCTCTACACAGGTCTCAGCTGAGGGACAGCCTGGCCCCCCTGCTCTGCCTCCCTCCCAGCCAGACAAGGCCACTGATCTGGGACCCAGCGCAGAGGAGACGCCCAGGATCCAAGTCCTTGCCTTGCCTTGTGCCCCTTGTCACATGGAGGGACCCAGCTGGAGATGACCCCTGGTCTCTTCCTGCTGACATTCCCTCGGGACTGCCCAGGCGGGCCCCACTACAGCGACCGCTCACACGCTGGACCTGCAGCAGTGAAGGGGTTAACACCTCTAGCTGAGGTACAGCTAAGGCTCCCGCTCCTCGTCAGCAGCCCTGAGTCATGGCTTCAGGCACTGGCACCTGCCCAGCGAAGTCACATCAGCGCAGTGCTGACGCTGCTACAGGTGCTGCTGCTGCAATAGTTCCTGGGGCCGGGTCACCTCGCTGGCACAGCTCCGCTCCCTGAGGGCTGTGCACTGCGTGAGGGGTGGCAGTCCGCCTGGGTACAGACTGAAGTAATAACACCACCTAGCTCACACCCAGCACTTGTCATCAGGAAGTCTCACAGTGCTGGACAAAGGAGGCCAGCGTCATCATCCCCAGTTCACAGAGGGGAAACTGAGGCACAGGGAGGGGAAGTGGGTTGCCCAGCAGGCCAGAGTTGGGAATAGAAGCCATGTTTCTGGAGGCCCAGTCCAGTGCTCGCTTCACTAGGCCACACTCCAAGGCTCTGATGAGGACTGTGGGTGCTAGAAGCAGGGCTAGGGACCCTGGCTCCCAGCGCGGGAATGAGACAAGCAAAGGAAACACACAGTTGGGCTCAGGCCCTTCTTTTTTTTTTGCTTTTCTCTGATGGAGAAAGACGCCCTAGAATGGTTTAATATTTTACATTCAAATATCAAGTCTCATCTAACCTGGGAGACTTTGTGGCTGACTGGAGAACTGGGGCATCCCACGGCAGTAAAGATGAGCACTGGGATTTCATCCGCTAGTCTGACAGGCCAGAGACCCTCAGACAGTGACTCCCCCTCGAGCCCCTAGCGTCTGAGCAGCTGGGCCAGGATCTGAACCTGAGGGCCTGCCCCTGTGCTCTGTGCAGGAGCGTTCCGCTAGCGCGCCAACGCCCACTCAGCTCATCCAACTCCAACACGGGGAGAAAGGGTCCCCCGCCCCTTAATGAAAACGGGACAGCTCACAGCACAACCTCCAGCAGAGCCGGGGGAGACCAGACTTGCCGTTTCTGATATTTCTAAGCAGAAAAACCCTTGAAAATCCTCCAACGCCAGCCCCTCCCCAGCTGTCTTTCGCCCTCAGAAGGCAGCCACACGGCCACAAACACATTATTTTTGTCTCCTTCCAGTCACTGTGAAGACTCATGGTGATGTCAGCGTGCTGCTACCTAGTGCAAACGCAGGGTAACTACAGCATCAGGCAAAGGACAATTAGGAGGCTGGCGTGAGACACAGAGCGAGTCCAATGGGACTCTTTTAGCTGCATCTGACGGAGTGCAGGAATCGGCTCCTGCCCGCCTCAGTGCCAGAGAGCCCGACATGGTGACTGGCAAGGGCTTCCAGATACATGGTTCTTCAAGGACCCAATGACACCCACTGTCTGGGGAGGCCGGTGCCTGCTTGGTGCTTGGCTAAGAGATCCCACACCAAGGGAAACCCAGGCACTGTGGGAAGAGCAGCAGGTGGTGCCCCAAGCCAGTCCCAAGGACATGCCCCGGTACAGTGTCTCAGTCACATCAGACACAAGCTGAGATCCTAGCCACAAAAGGTTGTCAATGAACCAATGCTGGGCTTTATTGTAAGGAGCTAGCTCCTGCCCTCCGTTCCAAATGGAGACAGCACTCTTCTTCACTTCCTGTCCCAAAGTGGTGTGTAGCGATACAGATACTAGGAATAGCAAGAGTTAAATGTGTACTTCACAGAGAGAGGAAACCACTTGCCCCAGATCACACTGAGCCAGAAAGAGAACCCAGGAGCCCTGAGGCCCAGTGATCTAAACCAGCGGCTCTTTAGTGACACTCCCATAGAATCACAGAACTGAAGGGACCTCGAGAGGTCATCAAGTGCAGCCCCTGCGCTGAGGCAGGACCAAGTCAACCACGCCCGTCCCTGACATGTGTTTGTTCAGCCTGTCCTTAAACCTCCCATGGCGGGAATTCGACAACCTCCCTTGGACGCCCTTTCCAGAGCTGAACCGTGAGTTACAAAGATTTCCCTAATATCTAACCTAAATCTCCCTCGGTGCAGATGACGCCCATCACTTCTTGTGCTACCTTCATGGGACATGGAGAACAACTGATCACCATCTTCTTTAGAACAGCCAATAACATATCTGAAGACTTATCAAGTTGTCCCCCCACCATCCTTTTTTTCTCAAGACTAAACATGTCCAGTTTTTCTAACCTTTCCTCATAGCTCAGATTGATCATCTTTGTTGCTCTTCTCTGGACTCTCTCCACAGCTTCCCTAACGTGGGGCACCCAGATGTGAGCGCAGTGCTCCGGCTGAGGCCTCCCCAGTGCCGAGTAGAACGGGACAATTGCCTCTCCTCTTTTACATACGACACTCCTGTTAATACAGCCCAGAATGATAATAGGCTTTTTCGCAACTGCATCACACCGGGGACTCACAATCAATTTGTGATCCACTCTAACCCCCCGATCCTTCTCGGCAGTACTGCTGCGTAGCCAGTTATTGCCCATTCTGTCACTGGGCAGTTGATTTTTCCTTCCTAAGTGAAGCACTTTGTACTTGTCTTTATTGAACTTCATCTTTTTGATTTCAGACCAGTTCTCTAATTTGTCAAGGTCATTTTGAATTCTAATCCTGTCCTCCAAAGTGCTCGCAACCCCTCCCATCTTGGTGTTATCTGCAAATGTTATAAGCTTCCTCTCCAGTCCACTATACAAGTCATTAATAAAAATATTGAATAGTACCGAACCCAGACTGACTCCTGTGGGACCGCACTAGACACATCCCCCCAAGTTCAACAGTGACTCATTGTATCACAACAGAAAAGGGGGTTGGGATCCCACCCCACAAAATTATTAAGGAAGGTTAGGTGATTACAAACCCCTGTAGTGTGTTCATGCCCCCAGAGGGGGTATGCTGGTAACTCCCCGCTTGAGAATCCATGATCTAACCCATTGTATTGCACTAGCCATTCTCTCCTGGGCTGCCAGTCCCAGTGCCCTGCAGCCATCCTGTCTCACTGTCTGCCTGGGGTCACTGCACATGTGGGCACTGGAGGGCAGGGGTGCAGCGTGGCTCTGAGTGGGGGGAGCAGATTGCGAGTCTGGCAGGGTGTGGGGTGTTTGTGCCTGGATGAGCAATGGTACCGGTGGGCGTGCATGCAAACGAAGGCTGGCATGTGGGGGCTGGGTCCTTCCACTGAGCCCTCTCTGACAATTTGTGGAGAGAAAGCTCCGTGGGGCTAGGGGAGTGAAATCTGACCCCGCTCCCTCCCAGCACCACCTCTGGTTAGCATTAGCACCTGGGGGGGCGGGGGCAGGGACAGGGCAGAGCTGCTGCATCTCCAGCCCCATCTGGTGTCTCCTTGGACAGTCACTTGGCCAAAGCCAGCGGTGCCAGGAATCGAGCCCAGCCTGCCCGGCTCCCAGCCCCTGCCCGTCAGCACTTTACAGCCATGTTCATACTGACTCGCTGGCAAAGTGCCAGGGCCTTTAATGAGCACAGGAGGGCAGGACCTTTCATCTCTCCCCTGAGTGCCATACTGGGACCATCCCCTACTGAATCCCCCACTGCAGCCCAGCGCCCCCAGCACATGCTTTGTCTCCAACCAGGTCCCTTCCCCCCTCCCTCCCAGCTACTTACTTGGATCAGCGATGCGGGATATTGTAGGCCCCACTGGGGCAGGGGGCCCTGGAGGTCCCGGGGGCCCTGGAAGGCCCGGAAATCCCTTCTCTCCGGGGATGCCCCTGGCACCATCCCGCCCTGGCGGCCCCGGGGGGCCTAGGAAGGAAGAAGAAAGGCAGGAAAGATCTTGAGGACTGAGCAAAAGCAACTCTTGCTTTACAGTTGCTGGCGTCCCCTGGGCAGGGCCACCACGCGGGGACCCTTCCCACACAGCACAGCTGCCGTGCTCGTGGGCACGGCTGCCCTATAGTACAGACCATGCCTGAGTGAAAGGCATTGTGGGTATTTCCTTAGCCTGGGTGGGAGGAAGAGGCCAGATCTGCAGCGGCAGTCCTGCCCCACCAGCCAGGCAGCCAGTGCTAGCAGGTGCTCATCTCCCATGCTCCAGTGCTGTGTGGGGCAGACCCCAAGCTGCCGTGTGCTGACGGAGCTGCCTTGGGGATTGGGGTGCCATCCCCTTCTCTCAGCCCTGGCTGGAGGAAGCTGCACAATGGCAGAGCCCCGAACTGTCCTCAATACCCCGGATCTGGATGCGTGACTTATCCCACCCCTGCCCCAGAGGACCTACCTGCACGGGCAGGGGATGAGGCAGTTCTCCGAATGCTGGCTCTGCAGCCAGAGGCCCCAGCTGTGCTTCACTTCGCCCTGATATATGTCCAGAGAGGCTGCAAACCGGGGCAAGGCGAGGGGTGGAAATGGCCCTTCCCCTTCCTCCTGGTGTGCCCCTCTGTTTCCCTCCCCTGGCCCTCTTGCAGCCTGGTACCAAAGGCCCCTCTCCCCTTTCCAGCAGTAGCCAGCACTGGATGCTTCACAGGAAGGTGAAAAAGCCACCGTGCTCCCCGTGCTTAGCTAGCACTGGCTTCCTCCTAACCCCAGCTGCTGACCAGCTGATTTCCTGGCCTGGGGAGGAAATGCTCCCTGGGCTGCATGCAGGGGTGGGAGCCAAACCGTGCTCTGCATGGGGTGCCCACCGCCCTCACCCACTAGAGCCAGTGGGGTCAGTGCGCAGTGGGCTCTAGCCCTGGCAGTGCTGGGCTCTGTTGTACCACAGGCCTGGTTCTGTTCCTGGCTCCAACCACTAGGCTGGGCTCTGGCTCTACCCTCTAGGTTAGACTCCCTATGTCCCGGTCACTCCCCTGGCACTGCCAAGGTGGGGAGACCTCCCTGGCATGTTTGTGACAAGCCATATGCCCCATTGTGAACGAGGGGAATCACAGTGAGTGAGAGACAAAGGAGGGCTTAGACAACACGCAGGTCTCCTTCCTTCCCGGGGGGGCTCAGCAACCCCATCCCGTTCCTGTCCCGCTCCCCCCACCTGCCTTGCCATGCTCAGCTGCTCCTACTTCCATGGGGAGTGGGCTGCTCAGTGCCAGGGGGGCTTCCAGCCACAGTCCCTGGAGTGGGCCCCACCATCTCCCGGGTGCAGGGCAGGGATCAGCTCTGCTGACCCCAGGGCTCCCGTGCTCCCTGGAGATCCAGCTGCCCTCAAGCCATTAGAAGGGCCCACTGGCATCAAGGGCTCGGCAGCCAGCCCTTGGCCCGGTGGCGGATCGCAGCTGAAGACGGGGAGCATGCAGCAAGAGGAGGCGGGAGCTGGACTTGAGGATGCAGGGAGGTGGAGAACAAAGGAAAGGAGATGTGAGAGGCCAAGGCTGGAAGGGAGCAGTGCATGGGGACCTGGTGGGGCCTTGGGGAGGATGGTTGTTAACGTTTAACTCCAAAGCGACATGGCACTGGACACCTTCCAAGCCTAATAAACGTTACACAGACACTGGGCCTCCGAGACATGCTGCCAAGAGCAACTGCAGCTCCCAGCATGAACTCCTTCCCCCGGCTGGCTTCCGCTCAGCCTCGTAGGGAGGGGGCCGATCTTCCCCCTGCGTCCCATCCATGCTCGGGGGATCCCATCTCCATGGCAATGCAAACCTGCCCCACTCCCAGCAGCACTAACCTGGGAGGGTCCATCTCCCTATCCATGCAGTCCTGAGCTTCCCCCAAAGCTGCCCTGAGAGCAGGGGGCTCCCTGGGTGCGCATCCCCAGCCCTGACCTGGAGGCGCAGCACTCCCTCAAGGAAGGATTAGCAGGCCATGGACTAGGCTGATGTCATTGATTTGGACTTTCCAAATCCTTTGTCAGACCTCCTCCCCGAGCCTATTAAGGAATTGACAGGGAAAGAGGCAAAGCGCCGTCCTGGGTCTAAAAGTGGCAAAGAGACTGAGCAGGATTAAATGGCCTAGTCCCAACCTGGGTAAAGGGTCATCGCAGGGCGCGACGTGGCTCTGTGCTAGGGCCGGAGCAGTCTGCTACAGTAATAATCCCTAGCTCTTAGCTAGCGCTTTTCATCGAGGGTCAGTGTCCTCATCCCCATTTCACAGGTGGGGAAACTGAGGCACTGAGTGGGGAAGGGACTTGTCCAAAGTCACCCTGCAGGCCAGCGGCAGAGATGGGAATTGAACCCAAATCTCCTGAGACCAGCCCAGTGCACTATTCACTAGGCCACACTGACAAGTATGTTTAATGTCTTACATACAGGGACTGCCTTTGTGTTCTGTGGTTGTACAGCACCTAGCACACTGGGTCCTGCTCCATGACTGGGGTGCGTAGACGCTACCATAATATAAATATAATAACCTGGAAAAGAAGTCGAGCAATGAGGCAGCAGCACTTTGCCAGATGACCCAAGAGGAAGAAGACTGGAGCGGTCTGGGAGGAAATTCAGAGGGACCAAACTGCACGAGGGCATTGGGCAGCAGAGGAAATGCCATGCTGACAAACACAAAGCATTGCCGATTGGGAGGGATGATCTGAACTACTCACATCTAACTGAGTTCCAAATGAACTGTGGCATCTCAGGAGAAAGGCCTGGGAAGTACAACAGGCAGTTCCATAGAGACCTCTGCTCAATGCACAGCTGGGGTCCGAAAAGCAACCAAGACGTTAGGATGCAACAGGAATGGGATGGAGAAAAATAGGGGAACTGTTATAATGCCTTTATCTAAATCAATGTGCTGGCCTCAGCTAGGATACTGCAGACTGGCTGCCCTGCCTCCAAAAGGGACAGCAGAAATAGAGACGGGGGGGTGTCAGAGCCTGGCAATGTGAATGGTCAGAGAATTCTGACTGAGGCGAGACTGAAAGGGTTTGGGGCTGCTGAGAGGAGACAAAGGAGAGGGGCTATGACAGAGGGGAACAAGGAAACAAGCTACAGAAGGCCAATCAGGCGTTCCTAGCCTCCCGCCTTTGACACACAAGGACAAATGGGCGTTCAATGGCACTGAAAGGCAGCTGAATTAAGACTGACCATGGAAATACTCGTCTAGAAATGGATAAGTAGCTGGGGAACTCATTGCCACAAGATATCAAGGGTAGCGCTGAGGTTCAGAGCTGAGTAGCAGTAAAAACGGGTTAGACATGACTCTGGATGAGAAGAACGTCCAGTTACACCAGAGAGGGGCTACAAATCCTCCTGCTTCAGGGCATGAGCCAACCTCTAACCGATGGGGCCAGGTTCTTCCCCCCGGGAGGGGTGTTCCACTGGGTGGGTTCCAGTATCTTCTTCTGAAGCAGCTGGAGAGAGGAGGGTGGACAGGACAGATCCCCGCCCTGATTCCTACATCCCAGCTCTAAAAAAACTGTCAAGAAAAGGAACATCCCCCATGGACCAGCCAGCCAACATCATCCATGGGGCAAAATCTGTGGCTGGGCTATGCCTGACCCAGAGCCCACTGAATGAGGGACGCAACCTAGTGACAGAGGATGTGGAAAAAGCTAATGTACTCAATGCTTTTTTTGCCTCTGTCTTCACAAACAAGGTCAGCTCCCAGACTGCTGCACTGGGCAGCACAGGATGGAGAGGAGGTGACCGGCCCTCTGTGGGGAAAGAAGTGGTTCAGGGCTATTTAGAAAAACTGGACGAGCACAAGTCCATGGGGCCGGATGTGCTGCACGTGATTGCAGAGCCATTGGCCATTATCTTTGAAAACTCATGGCGATTGGGGGAGGTCCTGGATGACTGGAAAAAGGCGAATGTAGTGCCCATCTTTAAAAAAGGGAAGAAGGAGGATCCGGGGAACTACAGGCCAGTCGGCCTCACCTCAGTCCCTGGAAAAATCATGGAGCAGGTCCTCAAGGAATCAATTCTGAAGCACTTAGAGGAGAGGAAAGTGATCAGGAACAATCAGCATGGATTCACCAAGGGCAAGTCATGCCTGACTAACCTAATTGCCTTCTATGAGGAGATAACTGGGTCTGTGGATGAGGGGAAAGCAATGGATGTGTTATTCCTTGACTTTAGCAAAGCTTTTGATATGGTCTCCCACAGTATTCTTGCCAGCAAGTTAAAGAAATATGGGCTGGATTAATGGACTATAAGGTGGATAGAAAGCTGGCTAGATCATCGGGCTCAACAAGTAGTGATCAACGGCTCCATGTCTAGTTGGCAGCCAGTATCAAGCGGAGTGCCCAAGAGTCGGTCCTGGGGCCGGTTTTGTTCAGTATCTTCATTAATGATATGGAGGATGGCGTGGACTGCACCATCAGCAAGTTTGCAGATGACACTAAACTGGGAGGAGTGGTAGATATGCTGGAGGGTAGGGATAGGATACAGAGGGACCTAGACAAATTAGAGGATTGGGCCAAAAGAAACGTGATGACGTTCAACAAGGACAAGTGCAGAGTCCTGCACTTAGGACGGAAGAATCCCATTCATTGTTACAGACTAGGGACCAAGTGGCTAGGCAGCAGTTCTGTAGAAAAGGACCTAGGAGTTATGGTGGACGAGAAGCTGGATATGAGTCAACAGTGTGTCCTCATTGCCAAAAAGGCTAACAGCATTTTGGGCTGTATAAGTAGGGGCATTGCCAGCAGATCGAGGGATCTGATCATTCCCCTCTATTCGACATTGGTGAGGCCTCACCTGGAATACTGTGTCCAGTTTTGGTCCTCACACTGTAAGAAGGATGTGGAAAAATTGGAAAGAGTCCAGCGGAGGGCAACAAAAATGATTAGGGGACTGGAGCACATGACTTATGAGGAGAGGCTGAGGGAACTGGGATTGTTTAGTCTCCAGAAGAGAAGAATGAGGGGGGATTTGATAGCAGCCTTCAACTACCTGAAAGGAGGTTCCAAAGAAGACGGACTGAGCTAGGCTGTTCTCAGTGGGGGCAGGTGACAGAACAAGGAGCAATGGTCTCAAGTTGCAGTGGGGGAGGTCCAGGTTGGATATTAGGAAACACTATTTCACTAGGAGGGTGGTGAAGCACTGGAATGGGTTACCTAGGGAGGTGGTGGAATCTCCTTCCTTAGAGGTTTTTAAAGCCCGGCTTGACAAAGCCCTGGCTGGGATGATTTAGTTGGGGATTGGTCCTGCTTTGAGCAGGGGGTTGGACTAGATACCTCCTGAGGTCCCTTCCAACCCTGAGATTCGATGATTCGATGATTCTATGGTGTCAGTGGGATCCTGCCTGCAAAGTTCAGGGCTTTGGATCAGGGCCAAAGCAAGGGTGCAGCTGGGATTGGCTCCTCCTCCCTCTACACCTCCCCCCCACTGCCAGCCAGGAAGCGCTGAGCACTGGTGTAGCTTGCAAATAAATGCCAGCCAATGCCAGGTGTCTGGGCTCTGCAGGGACCGGGGTGGCAGTTGTGATGCCCCTATGTCCAAAGTTGGCATCAATGTACAGGGATCTGTGGTGGCCCCCAGCTCCTGGAGCAGTGCCCTGTGTCCAAGACTCACCTGGCGGTCCAGCGGGACCCTTGGCTCCAGGGATTCCTGATGGCCCCTGGCTCCCAGCATTTCCCTTGGGACCCGATGGGCCTGGGGGTCCTTGGGGCCCTGGTTTCCCTGCAACAGAAAGAGCAAAAGGAAATACCCAGTTAAATACAGAAGGAGAGCAAGGTACCTCTACGGGCAACCCCAGGGATCCTAACCCCCAAACCGAACCAAGGAGGAGGATGGCCACGTCCCTGGGCAATGGATTGCGGTGCGGCTGCCACAGTCAGAAACCAACGGGAGTGGAGCTTGGAAGAGCTGTAAGGGGCTGGGCTGAGAGGTCCAAGTGGGGGAGCCCTCTATCCACAGCCCCGGTCTGCGGTGGGACAAGCCTCCCCCCATGCTGGCCACTGCCAATGGGCCTCACCCCCTGCTGTTTAGTGTCCACAGCCTCCGTCCTGAGACAGCTGATGGGGGAGCCTTAGGCTCCCCTCGCCCCGGAGCCGCACCTGCCGGGGCCATGCCGGGGTGGCATTCTGAGGGGCACACCTGTCCCCCAAGAACTCAGTGCCCATGGGCGCTTTAAGGTAACGGCTCTCAGCTGGAACCCAGCTGGGGGCACGGAAACCTGTGACCTGGCAGCGAAGGGCTGTGTCTCATTGTCCCAAGCCAACCAGTGCCACACCCAACCCAGGATGCGCACATCTCACTTAGTGAAACGTTCTAGACAGGATCTGGTCAGCTCAATGCCAGGCCAGAGGCCTCACGCCCTGTGGCACCCTACAGACTCCATAGGCAGGGGCAGGGCGATCACCTGGGGAAACCCCCATCGGGGCACTGCACCTCCCCTTCCTCCGGCTGCAGGATTGGGAATGCTCCTACCCACCACTGGCCTCACTCCAGCTCCCCCCGACCCCTGGGCCCGCTCTCAGCTCCTCTCTGCAGAGGATGAAGTGGGGCTGGAGCCCGGCTTACACACACTGTCCCGACGGCAGCAGCCACAGGCGTCACCATGCCGGGAATCATGATCCCCTGGTCATGACGTCTGCACTGTGGCTGGCCTGTGCCCGTGCCCGCCTGCAGTGGGGCCCGCCTGCACCCTGCCCGCCTGCGCAGGGGCCTGCCCGCACCTCGCCCGCCAGCGCTGGGGTCAGCCCGCACCCCACCCACCTGCGCTGGGGCCTGGCCTGCACCCCACCCGCACCCCACCGGACCTGCACTGGGGTCAGCTCACACCCCGCCCGCCTGCACTGGG